AGACCAATGCTACTGAACATTTCTAGTTTCCCAAGCAAGTACCCCGTCAAATTAAATTCGAGTATACAAGGTCCGAAGTGGCCTAGATATTGTAAGCCGGGGTCGCCAAGAAATGAAGCCCTACGACGAAATCCGATGAGGGTAAGCATCTGGACTTAAGACTGACTCGTGCAGGTACTGACAAGTCTAAGGTGAAGCTTCGATCCATCCGAAGTAAAGGTGCCCTAAAGAAGTCACCCGCCAAAGACCCCAGTACGGCTACAGATAATCATCGGTAAATGTGGCCGGGCCAAGTTTTCCCTCCAAGTTTTTGGGGAACAGGGGGATTACGCCCAGCTACCTGAAGAAGACAGCCCCCCAAGGTCGTTCCCGCGCAGTCGGCCCTACCCAAGTTTAAAATGACGGGGGTGCGGCTATCCCCGACAGGGGCACGGAAATATTGCATGCACCAGGCCGCCTTCTACCGCCTTACAGAGGTGCGACTAGGCACAGTAGCCGCCATGGTGTTGCCTATCTCTCTCTTCAAGCGGCAGTATGGAGAGCGGCATACGATCCCGCCCGCAAGAGGCCCATGTACGTAGTGTGACGTTTTTTTTTTTCAACACCGCACTCTGAATCAGCGACTCACCGATGCTGCTTCACCTTGAGCTCCCGGTAGGGCTAGTAGCTCGGATGTTCTCACGCGAGCAAAAATGGGAGGAGGATCGATCCGTAGGAGACCTGGTCTCTTATGTGCCGCGAACTGACTGGACTGCTAGTATGTATGCAGTAGCATACAGTATTATATGCCATACGATCATAATTAAGATTAATCATGCTCGTCTGACCGTACCTGATGCAAGGTAGCGCAAGGTAGCGATAACCTGATAGCGCTTAATAGACAGCATGAGCCAAGCGAAAATGACTATCTCCCGGGCCCCGTTGAGGGACTCAGACCGAAGCAAGCTGAACTCGCATAATTGGAAACCCCGAAGCCACGTAGCCCCATAACCGCACCGGCGACGGGAGCACAGAGGAAAGCTCTGAGGCTTGATCCGCAAGGTAGCGCGGGCGGCGGGAAGAGCCCGGGAGTCGGCTTATCATGTACTGTACCCACATGGAGCATTAAGCTTCTGATTTTTTGTCAAGCGTCGGATAACTCCATATAACATGCAGCTCAATAGAAAAATATTCGCTTGTCCCCTCTGCTGGCTCCCGACGGCATGGCTGAACTCGAATCGGTCCAGGTCATACAGCGAAAGCCGCCGTCATTGGAGGTCAAGAACGAGGTAAACGAGGAAAAAGATCCCGCCCAATTCTATACGTCCTCACAGGACAAGGGGATACACGCGAAAGCAATCGAAGAAGCCGTACCGCAGGAAGAGGTACGGGATAGGACTGGGCAAGGATGGTATGCCAAGTACAGGGTGTTCATTCTTTGCGTTTGGATCGCCATTATCCTTGGGTGGTGGATTAGTTCCCTCGTTGTGCCAAGTTCTCGACATCGTTGGGTCAGTATGGACCAAATACACCCACACTTCCTGCCGTTGCTCAATTTACCGTGCATATCCATTAGATCCCTCATACGTTTTGGGCATGGACCTTTATGTTGTGAGTCCGGGTATTGAGTGCGTCGCGCTCTTATCTCATTCTGACTTGTCCAAAGGATCATTGCTTTCCGGTTTATTCCAAACTCCGTCGTAACGAGACCCGTCGGTACAGTCTGGGAACCCTTGATATCGCGCCCTTTCTTCTCTATCCCTTATCATACCCGCCTTGCCATGGGGTGGCTCGCACTCATTGGCATTGTTTTCGGGTCGGCCTTTGGGTTTAAGCTCCCTCCGGCAAGTAGCTCTTCGTTTCGATTCGCCACAGGTCCTCATAATTTTGTAATGGCGTCCTCAGGGTAGCACCTACGGAGACCGCGCGATATCCGTGTTTGGTCTCACTGTATTCCAATTCGGCTTCTATCTGGCCTCGAACGCCCGCAACGATATTCCCTGGAATACGGTTATTGTCGGCCTCTTCTTCCAGCAAGTCATCGCACTCTTCGTCTTGAAGTCCGATGCAGGATTCAAGATTTTCAGGTGGATTGCGAACTTGGCTCAAGATTTCCTAGGCGAGGCCGCACCTGCCGCCCAGTTCTTCTTCGATGCCGATACCATTGCCAAGCATTGGTTTTTCGTCAACACTTTGAGCGCGATTATCTTCTTCGTGGCCTTCGTTCAGATGTGAGCCACGTTCATCTTGACCTCGTGCAGCGTGGATTTGACCTTGTCCACTAGGTTGTACTATGTAGGGTCCCTTGTTTCGGTATCCTCGTGTTCCACTCTAAAACCGTCATATCCGTAGCTCGGCGTAATGCAGTGGTTGATCGCAAAATTGTTCGTGGCATTGATATGACTTGAATCCTAAGTGGCGTGGACTGACTTTCCATCCAGTGCATGGTTTTTCTTCAAGACCATGGGCGTCTCGGGTGCCGAGGCTGTCGTCGCTGCTTCTTCACCCTTCATTGGCCAAGGCGAAAGCGCATGTCTCGTTCGGCCTTATGTGGACCTCATGACACCCTCGGAAATTCACTTGACGATGACTTCCGGTTTGTGACGTTCAAAGATACGTATTATTATAGGAGAGTCAAGGGATATGTTTATTAGGTTTCTCCACTATCGCTGGTTCTGTGCTCACCGCATACATCAATCTGGGTGTCCCCGCAACGTATGTAATTCAACCCTCGTGTGATTTCGTATGCTTCATGCCCTGCCTTGTCAGAACACTTGTGACATCTTCAGTGATGTCTATTCCAGCTTCTATCGCTATAAGCAAACTCCGCTTTCCCGAGAGAGAAGAACCCATCACTCGGGGAAATGTGGTGGTTGACCGCGGCATAGAGTCGAAGCATGCGCCTGCAAACGCCCTTCACGTACGCCCCTCATGACTGTGAGATTCGGTCATTCGGTCTTAGAGATTTATGCTCTGTCTCTTTGTAGGCTTTCAGTAACGGTGCATCATTCGGACTGCTGGTCGCCGGTCAGATCTTGACCAATGTGTTGACGGTCTTGGCACTCGTGTATACGATAGACGGCCTTCTCACATACATTGGCAAGGGCTTTGCCATCCACCACCTGACCCTCGAGCTCATATTTGGGTATATTTTTTATCCTCTCACATTCCTCATGGGTCAGTCGTGCTTTCTTTTTGCTCACCTTTGTCTGGCTGATCGTGCACTTGTCGCCTCGCTCTTTAAGGCACCCCGCGACCGGAAATCTTTCGCGTATCGCGCCTGATTGGAACGAAATTCGTCGCCAACGAGTTTGTGGCATACCTCGATTTGCAAGCGATCCAGAAGGGGTCTGACCCCCTCTCCTTACGGGCATACACCATCGCAAGCTACGCCCTTTGTGGCTTTGGGAACTTGGGTAAATTATTATTATTATTATTACTCGCATGATCTGCCCTCGTCTTCGCCGGATTCAATGCCTTGTTTGCTCTACTTAGGATCTGTCGGCATCCAGATCGGCGTGCTGTCGGCCCTCGCACCCTCCCGCGCAAGGGTGATCGCCACACTCGCCCCCTCAGCACTGTTCTGTGGGTTCATCTCCACGATGCAAACTGCGGGAATTGCGGGGACCTTGGTTTAGATTCGTCTGGGGATTTCTCATCGGAACCTGTGGTGTTTGCTCCTTCTGGCCTCTTTTTTTCTTGTTTTTTCACTTGAAGTATTTAGCGGTGTAATGTCTTGTTGGATGAATTTCAGTATGCGTGTGGATTAAGTACCTACAATTAGCTCGTACACTTGTCAAGGCCCACTGCAGGCGGAAGCAAATTCCCCTCAGAGATAGTCTCCCTAGGCAGACGTCACGCGGAGCGTGACGTCTGCTTCCAGATCAAAAAGCTTACTGTTAGGTCCCAATTTCGGAGTTATCCGGCTTGCTGCACGGTCAAGTGACTTTATTTACTTTGATCAAAATTTACATGTAAATCACTGTAAACAACCCCAATATGAGCCAGACGCTCCCTTTTGACTGGTCTAGAAGAACTAGAGTTGACTGGACAACATCTGAAAGTCTGTCCGACATCCAAGGTAAGCTTCGAGACCCCCTGGGATATAATCTAGACGACGGGCCGCTACGAGGCATCGGTACTATTCTAAATGGGACAGGCCTGTTCTTTCTCAGAGCTACGGAGGACGGAAAATCCGCCCTAATATACAGCCCACTCATGATGGAACCGGGTATAGTTGCCATCATAGCCTCGCCAATAGATCTCTTGGAGAGTGACCAAGTTAGTCCGGATCCTATATACAAGCTTGGATCCTACCTTATTCTAATAGGTCCGGAACATGGAGGGGAAGGGAGTGATCGCTGTGGAAATTAACCAGAGTACGCTGCGTGCGGCGGCTCCGGCTGCCCCATCTTGACCTCTGGGACGCAGCGCCGGAAAGGAAAATATCAAGCCATTTTCTGGAACTCCTCATCTCACCCGCCTTTGATAAGCTGTTGAAGGATGAGGGCTTCTCCAATCGTCTAGCCATATGCCTAGTGCATGAATGCCAAGGCTTTATCAAGAAATAGGGGAAATGTTGACTTGTTGGCCTCGATTGCATCAAATATGGCATCAATTTTCTCGGAATCAGTCTTCCTTGGAGTGTAATTTTGAGGCGTAGAGACCGACTCCTGATCTCGCTGAATGATAGGCGTCTTAGGCAATTGAGACATGAGGGAGTTTGTCCTGAGCTAGTTAGAAGGCTGGGTCACGTGAATTCGGATATACAATATAACTCCGGCGGAGGCCTTTAACGCCGAATTGGGGACCTAACACTAAGACCCCCGCGTCTGGAAGCAGACGTCACGCGGAGCGTGACGTACTCAGAGAACCATGTTGAATTGTGGGAAGTTGTTCAGTGCCAAAGGTTTTCACACTGGATGGTTGCTCTACATTTCACAGGTTCTGTCTTGTCATGGATGCCTGCAACATTCTTGCAAAAATCTTCATGTTGGATAACAAGTTTCATCTCCAGAATTGGGGGGGTAGCTTAGTGGGTAGAGCACCTGACTAAAAGGCAGGAGGTTGCGGGTTCAAACCCCTATCATCCTCACACATGTTACATTGTATTGGGAGAATCAGTACACTGCACCAACCATGAAGCAATCCTACATGTACAGTTTGCGTAGGGTCATGTCTTGGTGGGTGTTATGTACAGATTCTTCTGATATCATGTTGAGTGTGAGGAGGGGGTGTCATTTGGTTATAAGAGGGGGGTGATTTCAAGTTCAAAGCAATTCTTATAGCAGATGGTTGGTTTCTGCACTTTTTCAGGTATACATAAAGCAACACTAACAACACCCCTCAGCACAAGTGTAGGGGCTCAAAATAAATTTTGAAATAATATTCTAAGATATTCTTGTATCTCTAAGTTGTTCATTATTATATTATACATACCGCTCTGCGTGAGTTTTGGTTATAATTATAATTATCTATATCCCCCCCTCACCCCGGGTCGCAGGTTTTGGGTCGGGGGGGAGGGAGAGGGTTTGGTTGGGGGTTGATGCGGACTGTGGGTTCAGAAAAATACCTATGATAATAAATAAATAATAAGTTAGTAAAAAAAGAAAAACCACACAAAAGGAGCAGTGCACACTGCTCCTTTTGCGCGATCGTACTTATGGACGGCGAATACTTACCTCAAAAATTATCACACGCGCTGAAGCGGGTGTGGGGTTTGACCCAGGGTTTCTGTGGTCTTGTGTCGTGTTTTCGACTTGTTGCCGTTCGTGGGTTTCGTTTGGGGGGTGGGTTGCCATTCTCGCGTGTTTGTTCGGCGGGGTCACAGATATTGATTGGGGGTTGTGGGTTCAGATGAAAACCTAGGATAATAAATAATACATTAGTAAAAAAGGGAGGGAAAGAAGGCCACACAAAGGTGCAGCATACGCTGCTCCTTTTGCGCGATCGTACTTATACACCGAGAATACTTACCTTGAAATTACTACACACCCGCAGAAGCGGGTGGGTGGTTCGTCTGGGGTCCCTGCGGGCTTGTGTCGTGTGCTCCCGTTCCCAGGTTTCGTCTGGCGGAGGTTCCTTGGCAGGTCGCGTTTGCGGCTCTCGGTTGGCGGGTGGTTCAGGCGATAACCTCAAATAATAAATAATGTGTTAGTTAAAAATTAAAACGAACGCAAAAAGAGCAGCAAGGGCTGCTCTTTTTGCGCCGTTGGGGTGCACTACATTACTTGCCTTGTATACAACCACACATCCGCAGTATCGGGTCTGCGGTTCATGCGGTTTAGCGTCACTTCGTGCGTTCATTTGGCGCATCGTCGTCGTTCGCGGGTCTCGCTTTGCGGGCGGGCTAACCTTCGGGGAGGGGGGGTTCGCTCCACCGGTCTTCATTTGTGGCAATAGCCTAGAATAATAGATTATTAGTTAGAAAATTGAAACCAGCGCAAACAGAGCAGCATTTGCTGCTCTTTTTGCGCCGTTGGGGGTGCACAGTGCTACTTACATTAGAGAACCACACACTCGCCGCAGTGGGTGTGTGGTTCACATAGCTACTCGGTCGGCGCGTGGCCGCCTCCTGCATTCTCGTCGTGTTGCATTTTGTTTGGTGTGTTGCCATATGGGCTCTGGCCGGTCGCGCCTCGTCGTTTGGCACCTGGGACCAGACCATGACCTATAATAATAAATGTTGTTAGTAAAGAAATTCAAAGCAGCGCAAAAAGAGCAGCGAAAGCTGCTCTTTTTGCGCCGTTGTATCTACTAGCATAGAAAAAACGGACCTTTTAACCACACCCGCAGCGGCGGGTGTGATCGTCTGCTTGCCTAGGCGATATCCTGGTTATATCGCCCGCAGTCTTCCTATTCTTCGGTGGTACCAGTCGCAGGATCCACGTCGTCCCCTTGCGGTCACATTGTCACACCGCGGTGCATCTCTTGGATAGTAAACAAGCAAAATTTCTGAGCTTCGAACACCTGGAGAACCGTGCGAAGCGAGTCTAAAATTCCCGGTGGGAGCATGCAGGCTTCCAACCTAAGAGGGTTCAGTGGGTCCTATTGATGCCCGCATCGGATGATAGGCGAGGTGCGAATGACACTCAATCTGCTAATTTCCCCAGTACATCTAAGAGATAGTAGCTCCGTCCCGCCATATGTCACCTTCTTCCCATTCCCTCCAGTTACAGCGAACTAGTCGATGACTTGTTCGCCCATGCTGCAATGTTCGTATATTCAACGTAGCCACCACCTCCTATCATGAAAATGACGCCCTCGTTGAGGTTCATGCGTCTGGGCTTGGATCCGGAGGAACGGGGGGACTTGGGAATGAGTAACAAGTAATTGTCAGTTGTCTGGAGAGAAGCGGTGGAAGCATTGGCTGGATCCATAATAGCAACAGCTTCGACCACTCGTGTCACAGGGAGCAACTTATCAGCTGGCAGAAAGTTCTTGACCCCAGAAAGCAGGCTGTCAGATCCTCCTTTAGTCGGTCGGTTAACTAATACAGGAAATTAGATGGGTCTTTGTTAACTCAAGATTATATAAAGTCCCACTCACGCGACTGAATCCCTTGAAGAGCTCCCCGCCCTGACCTTGCCCACTTCCCTGGGTTATAGTGAGTGTGGCCAATTGGTTTATGTCGCGCATTCTTGGACCGCCTGGAGGTGTCAGGACCTTGGTCAATGTCGTGACACAAAGACACGGACCGTTTAACGTAATTCAAGGATCTAGCATTCTGTGGCTTCCCTTCAATTTCCACCCAATCTTCTTTCGCAAATGAAGTCGATGGAGAGGAGAGATACACTACGATGGCGAGGCGGTGTTGATCTTCTGGAGTAGGATTGGCTGCATTGAGTCCTTTGAACGAGCAGAGTATGTCAAGTGGGGAGGCCGGGGTCTATTGGGATCAGCCTTAGGTTAGTAAACCTGGTGGGCAGAAGCCACACTCTGACCTGGGGAAAAGCATTCTCTTCAAATTGATAGAGCCCGTATGTGCTACACAATCTCTGGGGAATCCATGGATCCCCTCAACCGTGAGGGCATAAAGCGTGAAGTCGTCCACCGCTACTTCTATAAAGGTAGCAGTGGACTTCACTGAGTATACCCTCACGGTTGAGGGGATCCACAAATTCATCGGAGATTGTGCATGAGCTCGAGAGGAGGGGGTGTTGTTGGTCGTAAGAGGGTGGTGATTTCCCGCTCGAAGCTAGTGTTGCCTAGTGTTGCGACGACTCGACTTGGCTCGAACTTCGGGCGACTCCGCGCGACTTCCGAAAGATTCGGAGATACAGTAAGCCAAGTCTTTCGGAAGTCGCGCGGAGTCGCCCGAAGTCGAGCCAAGTCGAGTCGTCGCAACACTAGAGCGCGTTAACTGTTCGGAGTATAAAATAGACCACCACCACTGGCAGTGCATTATGGCAACAATTCAAGCTGCACAGTCCGCCTTGCTCTTGTCTCTGCTACAACTTAGCGATTCCAGCACAAGTGGCGCTACGCGCTCCTGCGTGGAAAACCCTTGCGGTTGATGAAACCTCTAAAGATGTGCTGGCTACTATGTTGCGCGTGCAGGATCTTCGGGATGGCCCTGTGACATTACACGTGTCCATCTCCCCCCTCGCACTCATTGGCATTGTTTTCGGGTCAGCCTTTGGACTTAACCTCCCTCCAGCAAGTAGCTGTTCATTTCACTTCGGGACAGGGTCCTCATGGTTTTGTAATCGGGCCCTCAGGGTGGCACCTACGGAGACCGTGCGATATCCGCGTTTGGTCGCACTGTATTCCAATTCGGCTTCTATCTGGCCTCGAACGCCCGGAACGATATTCCCTGGAATACTGTTATTTCTTTCAGCAAGTCATCACACTGTTCGTCTTGAAGTCCGATGCAAAATTCAAGATTTTCAAGTGGATTGCGATCTTGGCTCAAGATTTCCTAGGCGAGGCCGCACCTGCCGCCCAGTTCTTCTTCGATGCCGATATCATTGCCAAGCATTGATTTTTCGTCAACACTTTGAGCGCGATTGTTCGTTCAGATGTGAGCCACATTCATCTTGACCTCGTACAGTGTGGATTCAACCTTGTCCACTAGGATGTACTATGTAGGGTTCCTTGTTTCGGTATCCTCGTGTTCCACTCTAAAACCGTCATATCCGTAGTTCGGCGTAATGCAGTAGTTGATCGCAAAATTGTTCGTGGCATTGATATCACTTGGATCCTAAGTGATGTGGACTGACTTTCCATCCAGTGCATGGTTTTTCTTCAAGACCATGGGCGTCTCGGGTGCCGAGGCTGTCGTTGCTGCTTCTTCACCCTTCATTGGCCAAGGCGAAAGCGCATGTCTCGTTCGGCCTTATGTCGACCTCATGACACCCTCGGAAATTCACTTGACGATGACTTCCGGTTCGTGATGTTCAAAGATACGTATTATTATAGGAGAGTCAAGGGATATGTTTATTAGGTTTCTCCACTATCGCTGGTTCTGTGCTCACCGCATACATCAATCTGGGCGTCCCCGCAACGTATGTAATTCAACCCTCGTGTAATTTTGTATGCTTCATGCCCTGCCTTGTCAGAACACTTGTGACATCTTCAGTGATGTCTATTCCAGCTTCTATCGCTATAAGCAAACTCCGCTTTCCTGAGAGAGAAGAACCCATCACTCGGGGAAATGTGGTGGTTGACCGCGGCATAGAGTCAAAACATCAGCCTGCAAACGCCCTTCACGTACGCCCCTCATGACTGTAAGATTCGGTCTTAGAGATTTATGCTCTGTCTCTTTGTAGGCTTTCAGCAACGGTGCATCATTCGGACTGCTGGTCGCCGGTCAGATCTTGACCAATGTGTTGACGGTCTTGGCACTCGTGTATACGATAGACGGCCTTCTCACATACATTGGCAAGGGCTTTGCCATCCACCACCTGACCCTTGAGCTCATATTTGGGTATATTTCTTATCCTCACATTCCTCATGCGTCAGTTGTGTTCTCTTTTACTCGGCTTCGTCTAGCTGATCATGCACTTGTTGCCTCCCTCTTAAGGCATCCCGCGACCGGAAATCTTTCGCATGTCGCGCCTCATTGGAACGAAATTCGTTGCCGACGAGTTTGTT